CCGGTAAGGACTCAGTGTCAGCCCCCACACAGGATGCAGCAACAAGGCACCATCTGGAAGGGGAGACTGTGCCCACGCCGGACACCAAGGCTGCCTTTGCCTGGATCTTAGGCTGCCAGACCAATTTGTGTGAGAAATTCATTTCTCTGTTTTACAAATTACCCAGTCTCAGGTATCATGTTAGAGCAGCACACATGGGCAGATACCTTCTCAGGACTGAGCTCACTGGTGCCAACTCACTGTCTCCCTCCCAGTGGGAGCCCCCAGGAGGGGACCCCCTCCTCTGTCTTCCCAGTGGGACAACCCTCTTCACCTGAAACAAGACTGAATGCTGACCTCCTCAGACTGAGCTGGGCTTCCGGTGGGAAGGATCACGGCTTCCAGCCATAACCAAGGCTGGACGCAGTTGACTCAGAGGTCAGCAGGTGTGGCTGAGAGACAGCCAGCATCTACTCCAGTTCCCATTTCACCTTCCTGGCCTTTGACCACAAAAATGAAAGGGCACTGCAGTGTGAGTTGCTTCGTGGGAAAAATAAGTAAATAAAAGTACACCTGAATATATGTAAGGAGAAAACTGATATTACCTCCACCTGAACACTAACAGATAACTGACACCCAGACCCTTCCTGTAGTACATTTTTAGTGACTGCCTCAAGCTAAGGAACATAAATCCCCCAACGCTGGTAACAGCCCAAAACCCAGCACGTGCCCCCAAATTCAGCCACACTCTTCCCTTAGGATCATGACTAGTGTGTGCTGTGCTTAGTACTTTATAGGCATCACCTCATTTAACATCATCACCAACCCCATACACTAGATGATGTAAAATTAGAACCACATCGTTTTCACAACAATGTATGGGTGGCTCGTAAGCAGTTGAGCCAGGATCGGAACCCAGATCTCCCCATCTGAAGGCTCTCCCAGGACTCAGGTCTCTTTGCCTTCCCCAGATTCCTATCCTGTGCATGCCTCCCACCAGAAACAAGGATGCGACATGGAGGAGAGGAGAAACAGACCAAAAGGAAGCATGTGGTTAGAGACCAACCAAACTAACCAGTCACTGATCTGCTTTATTAATACAACTCTGACTTAAA